GGGCCGCCGAGCGTGTCCCCAGCCGCCTCCCTGCCTGGGCGAGTGAGGGGGGCTCTGTGCAGGCTGTTGGGGAGGGGGCTGGGATTGTCATCTGCGTCCCAGAGAGGGCAGACGCCTGCCCTCGAAGAGGTGAGGGGTGCCCCCCCCCGACCGCACACTCCACCTGCACGTTATCGCGCCTGAGCGCCGTCGCAAGGGCCTCCTGACTTTAACTCCCCTTCACAGCCCTCCGTGGCTGGGGGAGGACCACAGCCTCGCAGCCAGCCGCTGCATTTGGGGCCCGCCTGTGTCATTAGCAGCCGACTGGCCTGGGAGAGTGGCTGTTTCGTTTCCTCGCCCGTGAATGACAGCCTCCCCATGGGGTCGATGTGAAACTGGGATTCGTTCCCTAGAGTGGTGTCTGGCACGGAGTGAGACATGATAAGCTGACGTGCTGGTGGTGTTTTGAGTGAAAGGTGTGTGCATCGGTGTGGGCGCTGTAACAAGTACAGATGGATGGCTTAAACGGCAGACACTTACTCTTCAGTCTTGGGGCTGGAAGGCCAAGGGCAAGGTGCTGGTGGATCTGGTGTCTGGCGAGGGAGGCCTCACTTCCTGGCTTGTAGACAGCTGCCTTCTCTGTCTCCTCGCGTGGCTGAGAGCAAGGTCATCTATCATGCCATGTTTCTCTTATTATTATTTTTCTTTTTGAGTCGGAGTCTCACTCTGTCACTCAGGCTGGAGTGCAGTGGCCGCTTCCGGCCACCGCAGCCTTGACCTGCTGGGCTCCGCCGATCCTTCCGCCTCAGCCTTCCAAGTAGCTGGAGCTACGGACGCACGCCACCATGCCCAGTTAGCTTTTGTGATTTGTTGTAGAGACGATGTCTCACCAAGTTGCCTGGTCTCGAACCCCCGGGCTCAGGCCATCCTCCCCCTCAGCCTCCCAAAGTTCTGGGATTACAGATGTGAGCCACCACGCCCGACTTATAGTCCTCTTTATAAGATCACCAGTCCCACTCATGGGGGCTCCACCTTTGTCACCTGATTACCTGCTAAAGGTCTCACCTTCGGATACCATCACACTGGACACTAGGCTTCAACACAGGAATGTGGGGGGACACAAACATTCTGTCCACACCACAGGTGTTGTTACTAACCCTATTTTACAGATGAGAACACTGAGGGAGCAGCAGGAGACATGACTAGGGACACACACTCAGTATGAGCAGCTTGAGTGATTCACACCCAGGCAGTGTGACTTGAGCCTAGGGCATGGCCCGTCCTCTCCGTCTTCCTCTCTCAGGGAGCTCTCAGCAGATGGGACTGTGGCCAAGTCGAGCCTTCTCTCTTCTGGGTTGGGCCCAGATCAGGCCAGGGGAGGAACTGGGGTCTGAGTCATCTGCTCTTTGTGAGGCCAGGTGTTCCTGGGCGTCCCTCCCAACACAGCCTGCCGCCAGCAGCTGGGCTGCCTGGACCCGCCAGAAGTGGGCCTAGGCAGGTGTAGGTGGCTGAGGCCCGGGGATGGTCATGAGAACAGATGGTGCCCGAGCATCGTTGGTTGTCTGCTCAGGTGTTCATTCCACAGAGGCACCTGTCCTGACTGCTGGCCACCCAGTGCCGCGCCATTGCTTCTTCCCCTTCCCCTACTTGGTGTTGGCACAGCCTGGGCTTGCCTCCGTCTGAAGTAATCTGCATTCATTCCTCCGGCATGTATTTATTGAGCACTTACTCTGTATCCAGCACAGTTCAAGTGGACGCAATCAGCAAAAACTCTAACCTCGTGAGTTAATTTTCTAGTGGGGAGACAAAGTAAACTGTACAGTTTGTTCGAAAAAAAAAAAAAAAGAAACAAACTCAGTGTCCATCAACTGGGGATAGAAAAATGCTGACCCCTGCAATTTTCCCAAATGTGGGAGACTCGACTGCATCATTTGTGGTAGTGGGGGACTGCGTTTGTATTCGCCCCTGAACAAAAATGCGGTATGTCCATACGATGGAATACTATTCAGCAATGACAAGGGACACTCCCGACACAGGCTACAACATGGATGAACCTCAGAAACATTATGCTAGGGGAAAGAAACCAGACACAAGCGACTGTATATTATACCATTGACATGAAATGGTCAGACAAGGCAGTTATATACAGAGGGTACATTCATGGTTGCTGAGCTTGGAGGGTGAGAACAGGGCTTTGCTGTAAATGGGCATGAGGGAACCTAGTGAGGGGAAGAAAATGTTCTAGAACTGATTTACAGGGATGGTTGTAATTGCACCACTTGGCAGTTATTTTTTAAATTGCTGGACGTGGTGGCTCACGCCTGTAATCCCAGCACTTTGGGAGGCAGAGGCAGGAGGATTGCCTGAGTCCATGGGTTCAAGGCCAGCCTGGGCAACTTGACAAGACCTCATCTCTTCAATAAATCAAAACATTAGCCAGGCGTGGTGGTGCGGACCTGTAGTTCCAGCTAGGAAGGCTAAGGCAGAAGGATCGCCTGAGCCAGCAGGTTGAGGCTGTGGTTGGATATGACCATGCCACTGCACTCCAGTCTGGGCGACAGAGTGATAGTCTGACTAAAAAATCAAAAAAACCCACTGAATTCGATTGGGTGGGGTGGTTCATGACTGTAACCCCAGCACTTTGGGAGCCCCAGATGGGAGAACTGCTTGAGCCCAAGAGTTTGAGACCAGCCTGGGCAACATAGCGAGACCTCATCTCTACAAAAACTTAGCCGAGTGTGGTGGTACACTCATCTAGTCCCTGCTAATCAGGAGACTGAGGCGGAAGGATCTCCCGAGACCAGGAGGCTGAGGCTCCAGTGAGCCATGATTGTGCCACTGCACTCCAGCCTGGGCAATAGGGTGAGACCCCGACTCAAAAAAAAAAAAAAAAAATCACTGACTTGTCTGTTTGAAGTGGGTGAGTTTTATGTAACTTATACCTCATTAACTGCTATTTTTTAAAAGCAATGTTTTAAGGGGGAGGCAAAAACCAAAAAAAAAATGTTTTATGAGAAATAGAACTGGACAGGGGAATAGAGAGTACCTATGTGGTATGTTGGGGAGGGGCTGGATTTTAAGTCACCAGGGAAGTCTTGAGTAAAAATCCAAAGATAAGAAGCAAAACAGCCGGGCTCGGTGGCTCAGCCTGTAATCCATGCTTTAGGAGGCCGAGGTGAGTGAATTGCCTGAGCCCGCGGGTTCGAGACCTGCCAGGGCAACTTGGCGAGACCTTATCTCTACAATAATTCAAAAATTAGCCAGGCGTGGTAGCGCATGCCTGTAGTTCCAGCTACTTGGAAGCCTGAGGCGGAAAGATCGCCGGAGCCCAGTGGGTCGAGGCACTCCAGTCTGGGTGACAGAGGGAGACTCCAACTCAAAAAACAAACAAAAAAAAAGCAAAACAGCTTGGCATGGTGGCTCAAACCTGTAATTTCAGCACTTTGGGAGGCTGAGGTGAGAGGATTGCCTGAGCCCAGGGATTCGAGACCAGCCTGGGCAACTTGACGAGACTTCATCTCTACAATAATTTATTTATTTATTTATTTATTTATTTGAGTTGGAATCTCACTCTGTCACCCAGACTGGAGTGCAGTGGCCGCTCCCGGCCACCGCAGCCTTGACCAGCTGGGCTCCGGCGATCCTTCCGCCTCAGCCTTCCAAGTAGCCGGAATTACAGGCATGCGCTACCACGCCCGGCTGATTTTTTGATTTATTGTGAGA